AATATGGATTTTATAGTCGTACTCAAACTTTTGATCGGCACTGTATGACAAATTCAAATCGGCCAACGATTTTTTCAAATTCTTTTCAACACTTTCGGGACGATTACCTGCAGAAACAAAATGCGTCAACATATATGCTAATGAGAATGAAAATGGCAATACAAGAATAAACATTCTGAAACGCATCAAGAAAAAAAAATCGCAAAAATAAATCATGAGTTCTGAATATGCAAAAGTGAAACATGAATTTACATGGGCAGCATAGGAGGTTCATGGTTCACTTTTGCGTATTCAGAACTCATGATTCACTTTTGCGAATTTTTTTTTTGATGCGCTTCAGAATGTTTATTCCTGTATTGCCATTTTCATTCTCACAGCCTCATATGTCATTGTTTTATTATTATTTAAGGTCAATCTTTTTTTTTTGAATATTTTTTCATACAACAGTCATTTGTTTACTGTTCATTTTGACATTTCAATACAAAAAAAAAACTCACCAAAAGCTGGCAATTTCGTTGTGATGAACAAGTCTTCACGTTTCACTTTACCCCCATCGATCCATTCTTTCAGTATTTTGCCAATGGCCTTTTCATTCAAATAAACTGGAGCACAATCGATGTGACTGTAAAAAGAACATTCGTGTTAGATTTGTCAAATCAATATTTGTGCAAATGCAATCTAAATGAATCAATTGTGTACCGATAACCAGCCTCAAGTGCTAAGTTCAATGCTCTTTTGATTTCTTCATCGGGTGCCTAGTTCGGATGCAGAAAAAATGACGAATTTATCATTTAGGTCACAGTTATGATCAAAACTTTCCGTCAAATATGACTGATTTTGGAGAGTGACTTACACGCCAAGTGCCATAGCCGATGGCTGCCATTTTGATTCCATTGTTAAATGTCAACAATTCAACGTTAGCCATTTTTCTTTGGATATTTCAATAGTTTAATTAGAGATTTTAGCTGATATTTTAGTAAGAAAATCACAAACAAGAATGCGTTCCAAGTGACTGTTCGGTTTCAATTAACTGCAGACCTGTGTGTTTTGGCATTTTTTATTTGCTTGCTTACATATGTCTATTGAAGCGTTATTACCGCAGATACCGTCGCTTGATTTCGACTTTGGTGTGTCGGTGTGTGCGTGCGATTATTTGAAGTTTGTAATAAAAGAAAGTAAATAGCGTTTTCTCTTGGTCTAAATGCTAAGGGGAAAGATCCAGCTGCAAATATATATATTTGCCCTTTATTTGTTTGATTTAATATATACGCACAATATTCACTCATTTTTGTATCAACTGTGAATATTCACAAAATATTTACCATAATTGAAATTTGAAAAATTATTTGCAGAATATTTGCCATATTTCTATTGACTAGATCGAGAGGAGAGTATGCGAAAAAATTCTAATATATTTTGAAAGAGGAGAGTATGTTTTCTGATGATTCTGTTGGCGTTAAAGTAGAGTATGTTATAGTACCGTCTAGCCTCTGCGGTCTTCACGGTTTTCGCGCAACTGATAAGAGATAACAACATGATGTCTTCGGCATAGTTGTAGTACTCAAGGTCTTCTATAACTTTGCTGAAGACATCTATCTCTTATCTCTTATCAGTTGCGCGCAAATCGCGCACATAAAAAAGCAAATTTTATATGGAACTTTTTTTTTCTTATCATTTTTCGCGCTTTTCGCGGAACTGATAAGAGATAAGAGATAACTAACTTCAGCAATGTTATAGACTACCTCGAGTGCTACAACTTTGCTGAAGACACCAAGTTGTTACTCTTATCAGTTCCGCGGAAACCGTGGAAAACCGCGAGGACCCGCCAAAAATGAACATACTCGCCTTTAACCATTTTTTAGTCGAAAGAAACTTACTCTTCTCTTTCATAACAAAGTCAGATGAACTTACTCTCCTCTCGATCTAGTCAATAGATTTGAGATACTGTTTTCTACGCCAGTAGCGCCGTCTGTCAAAAATACATGCCATTCTCGAATATTCACTCAAATATATTTGACATGTTTGCAAATACGTCGCATTTTTGTAAGCATTTGCGAGGTATTTTAATTTGATCTACTCCAAATGCTCAGACTATACAATTATAGGGTCAATAAATGTTCAAACGTGTTTATCTTGTATTTGACTGCGTTTTTCGCCCCGTTAACTTACGTGAAATGACGTCAAATTGGTTTGAATAAAACAATAACACGCATGTCTAAGATGATCTTTTTTTAATCAGATAATAATTTCACTTTCAAGGTAGACTATAAATGAGATAAGAAACAAACATGTGCTGTTATGTTCTGTGTGCTGCCACAAGTAACTACGCGCCCCACGTAGTATCAATTACGATCTATTACGTTTCCCAACAAAAATGAAAAATATCTTCAGTTGCTTTATGATTTCCTGTAAATGTTTTTGAATAATAATTTCGCATTTTTTTCAAATGTTTTTTTTCAAATTCCTTTTTCAATGAACATTATTTGAATCTAAAACTCGTTAAGATAAGTTCTATGACTTTTTACCACTTTTCCGTTCAATGATTCCTGGATTTTTCAATTTGTTTTCTCACGCCATTGTAAATTCTACTCAAACTAGGCCAATAAAACCCATGTCTAGAAACTTCATTTCCTATATAAAAATTATCCAAATAAATTGAATGAAATGTTAAATTAATGTTCAATTTTGCGTGATTTTACGTTTAGCATTGCTAAATTTATTTAATTTATTTAATTTAATTGCTAGATTGTTATCATCTCTACAAAGAAGGAAAATCAACTGAATTTGAAGTGAAATGAGTGAACGAAAAATCCAGGAATCAATGAATAGAAACGAGCTCAAAAATAATAGAAGACATTTGGGGATTGCTACCAAACTCTCAGATCTTCATTTCTTTGCTCATGGCAGTAGCCAAGAGCAATTCCAACACAATCGGATAAGCTATTCGAGTCCAGTATAAGAGAAAAATTTAGGAAACTCTCCATTGAAAAATCAGAAATTCTACCTTGTAAAGAATAGTTTACATGTGCAGAATGTATACTACATAGTGAACTTCAGATGCATAGTATATAATACAGCGTATGTAGCAAGGCATTGCACTTGTTACGCATATACAGATGTATTTTATATATAAAAAACAAGAATTTGCCATTTTCTATAATTATTTTCCCTCAAATTCCACTTTGTAAAGTATAGTTTACATGTGTAGAATATGTGCTACTAAATTCAAATATATACACGGTACATGACGACATAATATTTTTAAATTCAAATTTGAATTATACGCTATCGAATCAAACTTTCAATGCGTGTAATTGAAATTTGAACTTGAAAATTGTTGTGTTGTCGTGTTCCGTGTATAGAACTGAATTTCACTATGTAGCACAAATGCTAAAAAAGTGCTCTACTTTGCAAGGTAGAATTTGCAAGATCGAATTTGTAGTACAAGATCCGCTGTCAAAGTATACTTGCGTTCACTACGTTGGGCGCGTAGTATACGTTTGAAGTTTCGTTTCCACGCCCCGTGCAAAAATCGAGTGGATTGCGATTAGGTGATCATAAAGGGCAACATTGAGTTATAAATACAGATGTAAATTTCAGTCAACTGGCAGTCGCTGGAAAGAGTAAAGCTGAAAATGTATGTAGTTAACACGTATTTTGATGCTGTCGACAAAGTTTGGTCAGGTCGAAACAGTGACATTGTTGTTGATAAACATGAAAACTTGGGCACATTTTTACTGGAAAATCTGAATTCGCATCCAGAATTGGTGACACAAGTAAATATTCGGTGACAATGAAAAAAATTGCAAAAAAGCTTTTTCGATAAATATTCCAGTGTATTCATTACTAGTTCTTTTTGACTACTTTCAATTAGATTAACGGTGACACGGGTGAAACATTGACTAAAAGTGAAATACGCAGTCGTTCGATACGATGTGCTCAGAACTTAACAAAGTTGGGATGCACACAAGATGACCGCATTGGCATTGTCGCACGAAATCACCACAACTTGACACCACTTTTTTTCGGAGCTCTTTGCATTGGAACTCCAATCAGTCCGATGGATGTTCGGATGGACAAAGGTATACAGTCATTAGAAATTTGGTCTTCGAAAATAGTCAGAAGATTCATGAAATGGATCATTTAATTGGAATGTCGTTTTTTTAATTTTGATTGAAAATTAGTAAAGAAAGCACACTTGCGTGTCATTTTCAGATGTAATTGCCAAAATTCTTGAGAGAGTGAGACCATCGTTTATTTTCTGCGATACCGATGTATTAGAATCAGTGAAAAAAATCGTTAATGGCAACGGCATCAGCGCAAAGTTTTTCACCGTAAATGGATCGGACAATGGTTGCGATTCAATTGACAGTTTGATCAATGAAACTGGTGAAGAAGACTCATTTGTGTAGGGTTTTCCATTGACATTTTTTTTTTCAAAATATGAAATTAAAATTCAATTATGAAGAATAAATTGGATGGAACTCCAAAACTGTACCTACTTATTTCAGCTGTTCGAAGATAGACGATGCTTTTTCGCACGTTGCAGTCATTGCTTGTTCATCAGGGTCAACAGGATTTCCGAAGTCGATTTCTTTGAGTCATGCACTATACAGTTTCGTGCTTAAAAGACAAAACTCATCCGAACACACGTCTTTGAATTTCAGCTCAATGAATTGGGTATCGGGTGTTTTTTCAAAATTGAACTCTGCGTTAAAAAGAAAGCACATCTTCACCAAGCATCCGTTTTCACCGGATTTATTTTTTGATTTTGTGGAAAAGTACAAGGTAAAGATTAAAAATATCATACAATATTCGATTGGAAAATTTGAGGTGTTTTCTCGTTAGGTTCAAGTTTTCACTGCGCTACCGTATCAGATGCAAGCGATTCTCACAAGTGAGCGATGTAAGAGTGCTGACCTGTCATCATTGTCCATGTGTTGTCTAGCTGGAAATACCGTGCCACCCATTTTGGTTAAAACGATGAAAAAGGTTATTCCAAAATGTATTGTGTTGACGATTTATGGGATGAGTGAAACTTGCGGTGCTGTTAGTTGTACTATGCCAACTGAGTCAGAGGAATGTCCACATTCGTGTGGCCGTTTGATAACTGGAGCTAAAATAAAAATCATCAATCAAGAAACGGACGAAAAATGTGGAATCGGTGAAGTGGGTGAGATATGCATCAAAATTCCGATACCACCAATGGGATACTATAAAGATGAAGCGGCCACTCGAAATGCATACGATAACGAAGGATATTTTTCAAGTGGTGATCTGGGCTATTTCAATGAAACAGGACGGTTGTACATAATCGGAAGGAAAATCGAAATTTTCAGAAGTCGTGAATTCGACATTTGGCCAGGTGAACTTGAAAATATCATTCTGAAACATTCAGCCATTCGAGATGTTTCAGTAGTGAATGTTTATGATGACGATATTGTGTTGGAGCTACCGGCTGCGGTTGTTGTCAAGAAAGAAGACAGTTCAATTACAGCGGATGACGTTTATGCTATTGTTGCTGGTAAAATCTGATATTGTTGTTTCATGACTATTATTCAAACAAAATGACAAATATTCAATCTGAGAATCTTAATTGTTTATGTTATATCCAGATCAATTGGCTAGCTATAAGCGTCTTGATGGTGGCGTTTACTTTGTTGACGAATTACCGATGACCCCATCAGGCAAAACAATTCGATCAAAGGCAAAGGAAATCGCTCAAAACTTTTATCAACAACGGAAACTGAGCCAGAAATCATGAAAATCACCGCAACAAATTTAATCACTGTACAATAAGTCAATTATAAAAGTCTTGTTCAAAAAAAATAGCACGAGTTTGTAATAAGAAAAAGTAAATAAAATTTTATTGCGATTAAAAATGAAGTCATAAAATCCGACCAAAACTGATATCAACGCTTAAAGCCTTTTTTTGGTGATCGAACTAGTGTACAGTATGGTTGCATTGGCATAAAGGTGTCAATAGGACAGATTTTGTCCGTCCGTCCTTTTGTGATTTTTTTTCGGACGGACAATTTCATTTTGTCCGTCCGTTTAGAATTCAAGGACGGACAATTTCATTTTGTCCGTCCGTTTAGAATTCAAGGACGGACAATTTCATTTTGTCCGTCCGTTT